GAACTTTTGCTGTCTATATTTAAGAAAGAGTCATAAGAAAAAGGATTGAATTGGCTTACTGACTAGCAGGCTTCATTGTAGGGTTATCTACTGGGCTTCATTTATTGTAGGTTTGCCATCTGGTTGGGAGACCCCAAATGACAGTATCTTTTCTCTTGGACCATTCCATTTTTCAGAAGAACGTCCTTCAGGTTTCTGCCTGGAGGTTATTCAGTTGGCTATAGGTGTTTTGGGAATAGGAAGGCAAAGGAGGCAAGGAAATGATATTCAACATACAGATGTTCACTTAATCTCTCCATTTTCAACTATGTACCTCACTGCCTCCTTCCATCATCTCTGGTGCCCCAAATCTGAAACCTCTTTGATTTAATTTCTTAAGAGTTTTAACCTCCTGTCAGTTGGGCCTGGGTTAGTTTTAGCTGCTTGGGGTGAGGAAGGGTACTGTGGGTCCTTATGTTGGCCTCAACCATTTACCCCATTTTCATCCTAAAGCCCCATCTTTACTGTCTATGGCAACTCTTGCCTCTGAATCCTGAGACTTTCCTGGGGTCTTCAGGAGAAACAGGCTTCTTATTGTCATTTATCTCTGCAGGAATATATTTCTCCATTCACTTTCCTCCTTCCAATGAATTGACTCTTCCAAATGCATGCATACCTGTCATCTACTACTTGGTTCTATTCTCATTTTCTTTGTAATTGTGACTTTATACTTTTAAAAATTAAAAAAAAATTCTTTTTTTCCTCCCATGTTGGTAAAGTTCAGAGTAGGAGTAAATGCATATACTTAGTCCACTATGTTTAACAAGACGTCCTAGCCCATATTTTTATTGAATTGTTTCACAAAAGACACATTTTTGCAATTGAGTGCTGGCAATCAACTTTTTTGGGTAACAAGTCTGAATATTTAGGATAAAAAGTTTAAACATGCTCATTTTATTTCCCAGTTTTAAACAAAGATGTATTAGTCCAGCAGAGTATATTTAGAATCGTTGGAATTATTTCCTTGAATTTACTTATAACAATATGTTTGAAATGTGTTAAGTTGAAAAATTGGCAGGATCAGTCTGTATGTGTGTGTTTGCAAGTGTGACAGCAGGAGAAACTGCTAGAAGGAAAGAATGAATCCAAGAGAAAGCAGCGTGTTTGATTTTGGTTGTGGAGAGGAGGTGGGGTTTCAGGTCAGAGCCATATCAATATTTTCAATATGATCAATATACTTTAATGAGTACTTCAAGGTGATTTTTTTCCCCCACGCTCAAAACTCACAGACCATTCATACTCTATCAGTGTCTTAAAATACTGTCCCATTTGCACTAAGAGTCCCTTTGAATTAATGCATTTCTGGCTCTTGGGGCCACGCTAGCTACAGCTCTCATTACCTTGGCTGCTTTCAGAAGCCTCCCATGAGCCGAATGATGCACAATAACCAGAGTAAAGATAATTCTTCAATCAAGCAACTGAGAAGGGGCTGCTTTGGTTCATTAGTTCAAATAGGATCTTTCACTTTATTTTGAATTGCAATCAACAGAGCAATGGATCTATAATTTCTCTTGTTCTTTAAAAGCAAAATCATTCGCATTCCTTCAATTTGGCTACAAGAAGTCTCAGACTTTTGCCTTTTATATTATAGACCCATTGTTAGGTGATATGAATGGAAATGGAACACACTCCCCCTAATATTTAAAGGTCCTGATATAAGGCTAATTGTTGAGCAAATATACTTTCTTATCTTTCCCCGTGAAGCAAATTTAATAGATACTTTCAAAATCTTAACAGTTTCATTCTACTTCAGTAAAAGTGACTTCCCCCACTCTCTCTTTGGAGTAAATTTTCACCTTTCTGCTGAATTTATGAGTGCTATTACCAATACTATGAATTATTGTAGTGTCATGTAGCACAGCTAGGATGCTGATTCTCCTTCTTCAGAAAAAAGAGATAGCATCATGTTGGAGTTTTAAAATTTCTTGATCAAAGAAGATACTGAAACATTTGTCAAGATCCTGGGCCAGTTTTACCACTATTTTGTGAGACCACTGTAAATCATTTAAGTTTTCTGTGTCTACATTCAACTGTATTAGGAACTCCCAATCTAGTGAGCCTTATAAAAGATAAGCTTATTCAGGGGTAGAAATCATGTTTTATTCATCTTTGTTTTCTCTTGCTTAAATTCATAATAGTTACTCAGTAAATGCTGACTGAAAGAGTTTGAAAGAAAAATAGGATATAGGGCAAGTGAAAATCCTGTGAGAGCCTTCTGAGAACAATTTTATATAAATTTAATATATTCAGCTTGATTCTAAAGGCAGTGTTGAGAGGAGGCCTGTAGGGCTGCATGTTCTGCAGTGTAACGTAAACTACTGAACTGATTATAGTGGTTAGAAGATTAAAAGATGTATATTTTTAATGGGCAAACCCTTTGCTTAAATATAGCCTACAGTCAGTAAGTGGATGAGCAGTGCTCTCTTGTTAAAGCGGCTCCTGTGTACCCTTTGAGCTACCTCTGCACTCAGTGATGGTTTTAAGAGTTTGGCCACTTTCCACATGTCTGAAAGCACCTCTACATTAGACATGAGAAGGATGTGGTTGACTTTAAACTTTGGCTGGCATGAGAGGAATGGAGAAAGCCACAGGGGATTATTCATGCATGGCTAATCCTAGAGACTTCTGATTTTGCCTTCATGGAAATTAAAATGTGTGATCTAGAACGATATCCTCCTTTTAAATTTTTTCCCAAAATGTTCTCCTCTCCTCATTTCAACTAATCTCTAAGGGACAAACCGATATGGAAAAGTTGTGAGTTGAAGGACCTGTCCAAATTTTTAGGTTTGAGAGGACATTTCTGGTTCTGCTACTTTGGGGGAATTGTGATTTGTTATATAAATGAAAATAATGGTTTTCCTTTTTTTTTTTTTTTTAAACTTCCGAAGGAGTTACCTCTTTCTGGACCTTTTTTCCCCTCCTTAAGTCATTGCTGAGGTATTTGCAAACCGAGCCAACACTTACATTTTATTCACCAAACTAGAACAAAGCATCTGCTAATAGAAACAGCCTGGTAAACAGCTGAAAAAGCACAGAAGTCAGAAGACTTGTGTTTAAAGCATGGTTCATTGCTTACTTCTAATCTGTCATTGACAAATCTTTGGACCTTTTTGAGTCTTTCTATTCTCATCTGCAAAATGGGGTTAATGGAGGATTTTATCTACAAAGTGGGGGTAACAGATTAAAAGAGATGACGTGGGTACATTATGCCCCAAATAAACACGAGTTCAATCTTAACAATAATATTATGGCTGTGTGGTTACAATAAAAACTTTTTCTGCTTTTGCTGTCAGAAATGTCTTTGGTAGATTTCAGATTCTTTTCCATACTGCCTGCTCTTTGGTGGGGATCCAATAACATTGCTGTAACTCGAGTGCCCGTGGCTGCATTTCATCTCCAGCTTCCTTTCTCAAGGGTTCAAATGGCCTGTTCAGAGAAGGTACGAAGGTACAAAGCAAAAATTTCAGCATATGCCATCAAATCTTGGAAAGTCATCTAAAGGAGGAAAGCCTGCCACATAGGAAGTAAAAAAAAAAAAAAAAAAAAAAAGGCTCTTTTCTGGGCATCATTTCTGCCCTTCTGGGAAAAAAAAAAAAGCCCCGATGTTGCAATATTTTTCACGGCAGAATATTGTCCCAGATGGAGAAGGAAACACTGAGAGCAGAAAGGGAGATAACCTGGGGTTCTGAGGCAGCGTCGGAGGGGGGCGGCGCGCCAGGGGGGCTCAGAACCTCGCCGTTCTTTGTTGGGGGCCGGGGAGTCATTATTTCCGCGGAAGGAATGACACCCCCCGCCCCCACACCGCCCCGAGAGGTCCCTCGGCTGCGGATCCGGCTCCGCGACCCGCGCTGTCCCTCGCCCTCGCCCCTCCCAGTTCTTGCGGACCCCTCAACGTGGTCGGACTGCGGTGCCTTTAAGACTTTTGCTGCTGCACATGCTCAGCTCTTTGTGTGTTGCTGGAGTTTTTCTCTTTTAAGAAAAAAAGAAGAAATAGGCTGGAGGATGGGACGGAGGGAAGGGCGGGGGGAGCGCTAGGGGAAAAACGCTGCACTTTTACCGCTGTAGACAGTGGCCGGGAAGGGCTTCTTTTCTGCTGAAGCTGCGAAGCCGGTCCCGCTGTGATCTTTCGCTTGGGGGGGGGGCTGTCGCGGGGGTGGTGCGGGGGGGAGATCCGGAGGCGCGGGGGCCGGGTTCCCCGGGGCCCCGAGGGGAAGGGCACCGCGGGCGTTGGGGGCCACACCTGGGGGGGCCGGTCTCCCCTCCCGCGGCGGACCGGGCGGGGTGGGCGCGCGCGCGCGCTCGCCGGGGGGGAGTCCCCAGTCCCTGTAGGGGCGGGGCGAGACCACGCGCAGGGCCCGGCGGGGAGGAGCGGAGGCCCGCGCGCGAGCGGGAGGCGGCCCCGCACCCCGCCGGCCCTAGAGGCAGCCCTGGCGTCTGGCTAACGCGGCACCGGAGAGCAGATGGCTGCTGGGGGGCCGCCGGAGGCTGGCCGGGCGGGACGAGGCTGAAGCCCCGCTTCCCGAGTACCCCCTCCCGCCGTGGGCGCGCCCACCTCGGGGGGCTCCCGTGGCCCCCCGCCGTCCCGGGCGCGCGCGGCGGGGCGCCCAGGCTGTTGGCCCGTGCGGCGGGCGAGGCGGGGCCGCGCGCGGGGTCCCCTCCCCCTCCCGCAGGTCCCCGCCTCCGGCCCGGTCCCGGGCGCCGCGGCGGTGGGCTCGGCCTGCAGCGGACAAGGTCAGCGGACAGAGAGGCGATGCCCGAGCGCGACTGCAGGGAGCCGAGCGAAGGCGAGCGCGGCTGGGATCTGCCCGTCCGGACCGGGGAGCGGGACTGGGGCAGGCGCCGGTGAGGAGGAGGAGCGCCGGCGGCCGCGCGGTGTTTTCCTCTCCGGCCGGGTTTCCCCTCTGGAGCATCCCTGTCGGCACCCGCGAGCGCAGCCCCGCCGGCCCGGGGTGCTGGGGAAGATGGAGCCGGGGGGCCGGGCCCGCACTGGCCCCCCGCAGCCGGCGGCCCCGGGGTCGTGGAGGGCTCGGCCGGCTGGCGGCGGCGGCGGCGGGGGCGCCTCCTCCTGGCTGCTGGACGGGAACAGCGGGTTGCTGTGCTACGGCCTTCTCTACCTGGCGCTCTACGCGCAGGTGTCCCAGTCGAAACCCTGCGAAAGGACCGGCTCCTGCTTCTCGGGCCGCTGTGTCAACTCCACCTGCCTCTGCGACCCGGGTTGGGTGGGCGACCAGTGCCAGCACTGCCAGGGCAGGTTCAAGTAAGTGCCTTCGCCGGACCCCGAACCTCAGCCTTGCCCCGCAGCGTCGCGGCCTCCCCCCAACCCCCGTCCCTTCTCGGTCCGGGGTCCCCGGGCTGGGAGCGGCCCCCAGCGCTGCCTTCCGCCGGGCCCCGTGCCTTGGAGATCCCGACCCTGCGCCAAGCGCCCGGCACCGACCGCCGTGGACGCGAAGCCTCTCCGGGTGGTCCACCTGTCCGCTGCCCTTCTTTTTCCCTGATCGTCAAAAATTCCGCACTCAGTTACGGTGCCAAACACCATTTTGTTAGCGGACACTATTTTTTAATAAAAAATGAGGCACGTAAGTCATGAAATACTTGCGCATTGTGAAGCGTTCAAACAGTGCAGAAGTGTAAAGGTTAAAAGTTCTGGTCTGTCGGTATCTCCGTCTTCCCCAGCCTACTCCCCTCTCTAGAGGTAACCACTGCTAACTTGTTAGTGTATTTAGTAACAGTGATCGTAAGTAGAATTATGATGACCTTACTATGTGCCAGACCTTCTTCTGAGTGCCTCATTTGTTCCTCAAAGAGTTCCTAGTAACTCTGAGTTACTAGGATTCCTATACTGGTTTTACAGAGAGAAATCGTGGTAATGAGTTTAAGTAATTTGCCCAAGATTACACAGTACTGATGGCAGAGTTGTGATCCAAATCAGCCAGCCTAACTCTAGAACGTTTACTTTTAGCCAGTACTACTGTGCTGAATTGTGCGAAGAGCATCTTGAATTGAGAAATACAGAGTGACTTTGAGTTAGATAAAGGGATGAAATACCTGGACTTTATAATGAGGTGGAGATAATAGATATTCCTAACTGGTTATTTGACTATCAGCTATTGTGTGGAAGCATCACTTGGGTTTTTCAGAAGCTTAAGGCCCTAAGGAGCTTGCTTTACAGCAGTAAAAATACTTGTCCCCTATTGGTTCATGTGTATTGCGTCGCTGCCTGGTATGAAAAGAAATGGATGAGCGTGGGGCAGCAGCAAATAAAATACTTGAGACCAGTAGGGTATCCATCAGACAACTTGTGCAGAACAGTCCTTAAGTAAGTCAACTTCTGTGTCATCCAGATAGTTCAGATCAAGTTTGCTGGCTGGGTTAGTGGCTCAGAAATTGCATTCTGTGGGTTACTTACTGTCACAGTGATAGCCAGATCTAAGTGGAGTGTCTCTTGGGTTCTAAGGCAAAGGTGAGAATAAGGTTCACATTTGTTGTTCTTTAGTTGCCAAATCATGACCAGACTCTTTGCAAACCCATGAACTGTATATTCCACCAGGTTCCTCTTTCCATGAGCTTTCCTAGGCAGGAATACTAGAGTGGGTTGCCATTTCTTTCTCCAGGGGATCCTCCCGACCCAGGGATCAAACCTGTGCCTCCTGCATTGGCAGATGTATTCTTTACCGCTGAGCCACAAGGGAAGCCTATGGTTCACCTTACTTATGTATCAAAAGAAAATTTCCTGGGAGTTTTAAACAAAATATTTTCCTTTTTTTAAACTTGCCGGTTAAGACAAGTCCCTGAAACCTTATTGTAAAAATGTATTTTTTAAAAGGGGACCTTTTAATTTAAGTAGATCTTACAGCAAGTTTAATTTACAGCAAGATTTTGGAAGTGAAATCTCAGAATGAAGTTTTATGAAATTCTTTTGTAGGAGTAAGTTGAAATGTTTCCTAGCTTCGTAATTTCACAAATTAGTGTAATACTCTTGTTTTTTTAAAATACTTTAAAAAATTTAGTAGAGTTACTAATTAAAAGTTTTAAAAAATGTTTCCAGACCCACAAAAATACTGTTTTGAACTGTGCTTATTAGTAATCTTTTTTACTTAAGTGTTCTTAAACTTTTGCTTTGATCAAAACAGCCAGCCCAGCCTCTTCACCTGGCAAGAGAGGATTTTGAACATAGAAAGTGGTAGTCAGTAATAAAAAAAGCCACATATATTTTTTATATCCGTTTTTATATAAAGAGAAAGATTGCCTGATTCACATGTAATTTAGGGACATTGGCGTTTGGTTGGAATTGCTCTGTTTGTCTAAAGAGGACAAAAATTGCTGCAGTCCTGAGAAGCCTCTGTCTACATTGTATAGAAGTGGAATTGTTAATCAGCTAGATCAGCAGCCTGTAACCTCACTAGCAGATGTTGTCCCAGTTAGTAGGAAAGGTCACAGATCGAGTTAAAACTGGCTTAAATAATATAGCGAGATGGTTGCTGTTCATAAACAATACATTAGTGGGTAAAAGAGGAATAGTTTTTTAAAATATAGATGTAGTTAAATAACAATAAACCCTGGACTAATCATTGAATATTCATTTCCTTGGAACCTATTTCCTATGATTTGTTGTACTCTATTAGTAAGTACTTTTTCATTCTCTGTGGAGTACCAGCTATTAATTAGAGTAAATATAACTGGTACAACTCTTTGTGTTTTGTTATATATACTCTTAGGGTAAAGAAGTATTTAATGTTAAAGGGAAGAATCAGTTTAGAAGAAAAGATTTCTTCCAGGTAAAGTGCCTGCTAAGCTAAGAAAGGTTTCTTTCAGAATGTTGGCTTGTTTTATCCAATATTTGAAATAATAACACAGTGGGAAAGACTTTTAACTGGAAATTCTCACCTCATTAATTATCTTGAAAATCTTTTACTCAACTGAAGGATAGCAACCTTACACACAGACATCAAAAATGATCAATCTTCGTAAGCAGATGTCAAAATTAATTGGCTGGTTCCATGGTAACTTAGCTCTTTTTTTTCTAGTGTAGGGATTTCACTAGGGAATGAGTATTCTTCAAATGCTTTTTTAGAAGGGAAGATTGATGGTTGGGGGGAGAAATGCAGCAGCAAATATGGTATCAAAAGTGGTGCTTCAGTTCTCTTAGGATTGATTTCAGCCTTCTGCTTCCATTTGAAGAGAATAAAACTCTCAGATTATAGGCCATTCTTCACCTAGGTAAAACAGAATGAACACCGATCTTTAGTCAAAGTTAGACTGAAAGACTTAGGACTGAGAATCAGAAAGGACAGTGCCAATTTGAAATATAATAATCAAGGATATGATATATGAAATATATGCAAATTTAAATTACATTTACTTGGGCAGCATAGTATAACATTAGGCTGGAAAGCATTTTGCTACAAACTCTATTTGAATGAATAACACTGTTATAAGCTAGGTCTTTAGAATTATTTTTGTAGAGTAGTTGAGATTTACGTTTATATAAACTTATAATTTGCGTTCATACTTGGACATTTTTTTGCTTATATGACTTAGGAACCTAAGACTTCTCATTTCTCTTAGGTAAAGAAAATAGCTGAGATTAATGTTCTGAGATTGGAAAATACCTCATTATTTTCTAAATATTTTATAAATATAAATTTATTATTAAAGTACATTTATTGAGTATTCCTCTAATCATCTATTAAATCTTACTGTATGTTTAATATATGCAGATTTTTTAAACGTCTTTGATCAGTCAAATATGGATGATGAATTTCACATGTTTATAATAGAAGTAATCTATTTTATATTTTAACAGCAAAATGAAGATATACTACCAGGAGTGAGGTTGCTGTTGTAAATAGAAAGCAGTAGGGTTAAATGTGTAAATATTTTTCCTAAGTTACTACTAAAACCCCCCAACATATGTGTGTATATACACATATACACATATATCATTTGGAATCCTTTTTAATAATAATAGGGAAGCTCTCAGTAACTATGATGTTTAAATTGAATGCTCCCTGTCCCCAAGTCTTTATTTCAAACTAAGATTCTAATATGTAATTTATATGCATGGGTTCTTTTCATGTTATTAAACATGAAAATCACACAAAGGAATTTTATAATAATTTAAATTGAGTGTTTCTGAGATCCCCAACTGATAAGTTACTTGAAGTAGCATGGTTTTGAAGACCATGTGTCTGCATAATTTGGTTCCTTTAGCAGATGACTGACTCACTCTTCCAGCTTCCCTGCCTTTTAAAGTGCCTTCAAAGTGCCACATTGCTTTTGGACTCAGGGCATTTCACACATACTGTTACATCTCTCTGAGCCCTCTTTCCTGCGTGGTCTTTGCTTGACTGATTACTAAGCATCCTTCAAATTTTAGCATATCCTAGTGTCTGAAGGAAGCTTTTCTAATTCTTCAGACTACATGACCCCTCATTATATACTCTTATAGCACTGTTTTTCCTTTGTAGCACTTTGAAAATGAATAATTAGAGTTGAAATTTTTTTCTAAAAATTATTTTTAAGAGCTTAATTGAGGTATAATTGACATGCAGTATACTACAATTTAAAAAGTTTTGATGTATATATGCGCCTCTTAAACTATCATCACAGTCAAGATCCTAAAAATATTAGTCACTCTCAAAAGTTCCTTCTTGTTGTTTAGTTGCGTCCAACTCTTTGCAACTCCATGGACTGCAGCATATTCAGGCTTCCCTGTCTTTCACCATCTCCTGGAGTTTGCTCAGATTCGTGTCCATTAAATTGGTGATGTCATCCAACCATCTCATCCTCTGCCATCCATTTCTCCTCCTACCTCCAATCTTTCCCAGTATCAGGGTCTTTTCCAATGAGTCAGCTCTTCGAATCAGGTGGCCAAAGTATTGGAGCTTCAGCTTCAGCATCAGTCCTTCCAGTGAATATTCAGAGTTGATTTCCTTTCGGATTGACTTGATTTCATCTCCTTGCTGTCCCATGACTCTTCAAAGAGTCTTGTCCAGCACCATGGTTTGAAGGCATCAGTTCTCCAGTGCTCAGAATCTGCATGCAATGCGGGAGACCTGGGTTTGATACCTAGGTTGGGAAGATTCCCTTGGAGAAGGGAAAGGCTACCCACTCCAGTATTCTGGCCTGGTGAATTCTATGAACTATATAGGCCATAGGGTTGCAAAGAGTCGGACACGATTGAGCAACTTTCCTTTAACTTTCAATGACTGATGATAATGATGTTGAATATCTTGTCATGCGTTTACTTGCCATCTG